ATATCTTAATAATTCTTGTTTATTAGTTTTTAATTCTTAGCAGGACCCCGTTGATAACAGTACTTTGTACTGAAGGGTTATCCTGAGGAAATATTCGATGATTATTATTATTATTATTGTTACGGTAATTTACTTTTTATGTCCGTTATGCGATTTTCCTGCAAAGACAATCACTGTACATGTAAATATCTTGTTTTCAAGTTGATTTATCTTTAAGTCTTACGAAAAAAAGTGTAACCATGGTATTCAACTCTGTAGCTTACTTTGGTCACATTCTTTTGTACTGACAAAGTATCAGGAACGACCAGCCATTGATGTTTACAGCAGGCATTGCTGCTTCTCGTTTCACTTTGACATTAAATGATCTGAAGGGTTCTCTTTCTTGCCGTTCTCGCATTTCAGTAACACTTCAAAGCGTCGACTTCAAAGCATCCCGTTGCGACCGCCGTTACCCGTGATGTTTAACAGTAGCCTTCATTCTGAAATTTTGAATGGTATTTATTCCAGAGGAATACACAAGAAATACACAAGGACTTATAACGCACGTGCACAGCCATTTTACTGCTTGGTGACGTTCTCGTTGCCGTTGTTGTCGTCCCTATCAATGGTCCGTACTAATCCGCACGGGCACGACGTTCCAAACACAGAGGGTCACCCGAGGTGGCAGTGTGCCAAAAAAATATCTGACTTAACACCCTTGCGACTCGATAATACCCCGTTTTTCATTCAGTGTGATTATATTTGGTAGTGTGGAGGCAAATAAATCTTACAAAACGGGCTTCTTTACTGCAGCATAGCCGAGACGCAGTTCTATAACTTGACTGCAAAGGGAAAATGTGATAATCTGACAAGTCAGACACGATTCCGGTCGATTCCTACCCATGTTACATAAACCATGTGTGAGAAAATTGGTCTTTTATACTAAGTGGAAACTCAGCTTTGTTTCCCAGCCTGCCATGGCCTGGTCCAGACCCCCAGAGGGTGGACGATGACTGACATTTCAGGCTGGTGGGTTTGCTTGGCTGGTTCTGCAGTCAGCTGCTGCGCGTTCCTGGCCCTTCTCGGAGCACCACTCATGAATCCGCTGTCCGGTATGTAGCTAATGGCAGGAAAAGCTAGTAGTCTAGCGTAATCAACCTCTAGAAACCACGAGGTTAGCAGCCGGCATGCGTTTGTTTCTCATGACAATCAAATGCTTTGATTTGATTTTCAATGTCATTTTTAGCTCGTTATATTTTATTTTAGTTTTATTTTTTCATGTTATTTTTTATTTTGTTTCTATTTGTTCATTTTATTTGTATTTTGTTTCTATTTTATATTCAGTTTATTTTTAGGTTGTTTTATTTTTCTTACATTTTAATTTAATTTTAATTTAATTTTAATTTTATATTTTTTCAATGCTGTTTTACTTCTTTGTTACAAAAATCCGTTCAAAGATAATTGTTTCTTTGTCATTTGTAACCAAAATTCGAACGATTCTCTTAGCCTCGATCGGGTTTTGTCTATATTCTTAAAATTTCGCAAATTCGGCTTCGACATTGTTATAAATTATATTCTTATAAAGAAAGACAGAGTATATGTAAAATAAAAGGAAGAGGTATTTGCACAGGGGACCCGAACACTGTATCAGCAATAACATAATCATTTACATTCATGTCAAATAAATGTACTGTTATTCCTGGGTCTTTTTGAGCCTTTTACCCGCGACGTTTTCGAGTGCCCAGGCCCCTCCGGCTAAGAGGATAGCGTCCTTTGGGAAAGTGTATTTGCATATTCTGTAACGAATACGTTGTTTTGATAAGATATTCTAGCTAGCGATTCTTCTCGATGTGGCCTTCTAGGAAACGGACCTCTAGACAATATATTTGTCTGTAACTTTGGCCTGGAACAGGAAATGCAAAAGGTTAGCGACTCGAGTCAGCGAGAACATCTTTTCGCTTCATGCCAGCTGGGAAAACGAAGATTTCAGCTGCGAACTTGTGAATTTTTGTAAATACGTTAACTTCTTTGACATCACGTACTGCTACAGCCGAGCTTCTCTGTGAAGGTGACATTATTTTATCAGTGCAGTCAAGAAATCAGTGAAACATGTTTGAGTCTCTCGTTGCCTCGATTCTAAATGGAATTCTTGGAAAATACATTAAGGATTTGGACAGCTCGAATCTCAATCTTGGGATTTTAAAAGGTGAGAAAACATATGATTTATATCGAATACGCTCATCAAGTACAAATAAAACAAGTTAAGTATTTATTTAAGTATCTAAAATAGACTCCTTTTGGTAAAGTAATCTTAAGAAGCAATTGCGGAAATAAGCGCTCTCACTTGCCACCCATGCCAAGGAAGATACTGTACAGACGCTCACATTACATAGAGGTTTTAATAGCGGGTCATTCGGTCTTGGAAAAGGCTTAAACATAAGGACAGCTTTGAATTAAAACTTCATTTAATTAACAGTCGTGATCGCGGTAGGTACTTGACAATTTTGCAGTATCTGTTTGTATTTTACCTTATTATACGCATATTTTAGCGTGCGTGACTCCTGACTGGTATTGCGTTACATGTTATTTCTTCCTGTGCCATAAATAATAAACGCGTGTCGTTTGTCTATTGCTTATGTCGAACCGTGCTGATTGCTTTTAGGTTGATAACCTTCTAATATATTGTTATCAGTTTTTATCTAGTGAAGCTTCTACATGTCAAGGATTTATGTTTTAGTTTTCCCAATTTTCATTTAGCACAGTGTTGTCTGTGTGTCTGGGCCTGTTGACACCTGCTATGTGCCAGACAAGTACATGTATATTCATGAAAGGGAATGTGGCGAGGGGTTGAATGATGAGGGTTTCCAAGGGGTTTTGGGGGACGAGGGAGCATGATCATATTGTAATACTATTAATAATAATATTAATACTAAGTTTAATAGTCTGTCTCCTATAAAGCATGATGGTCCACTGTGATTGGTTGGTTTTCAACAGCTGTGATTATGCAGTTCCAGAAAATATCGATACTCCCCCTACAGATGGGATTGGAATTTCCTGGGGGGTGAGGGGTTCTGGAAGACCATAAAATTTAAAGAAATGCATGAAGCTTAGCTGGAATTTCTAGAAAGATGGTGGTGGTGAGGAGAGGGGGGGGGGGGTTNCTGAGACCAAAAAATTTAAAGAAATGTATGAAGCTTAACTGAAATTTCCAGAGGGGTGGGGAGGAGTTAGAAAAAATCCCTTCCGTTGGGGGAGGTATGGATATTTTCTGGAACTACACATTACTGCATTATGGTCCTCGTTGTTTTGGTGAGTTGTTCCTTCGCTGGTCTGTTGTTGAATGGCTTTCCTGTCATCTCTGAGCCACTCTCTTAATGGAGCATTCTGCTTTATAGGTGATGTTTAACCAGTTGACTTCATCATCTGATGAAGGCTCGAACAGTACGCTGAGGAAATGCTGTGATCTACATGCTGCCTAATACTTTTAGAACTTCCAGGAAAAATGATTACTGAACTTGGAAAGGCAGGATTCAAATAAACCCAACTTTCAGGCTTGCCCTAATTGGGCAATCTGTGGACTAATCTTACATTTTACTACGCTACTAGAGGGCTATTAGTAATAGCTCTCTAGTAGTGAAAGTGGCACAATCAAGTGTGGGGCTTTCTTTTGGTTTATTCCCAAATAAATATTTCTTCAACTAGCATTTGCTAACTTTATTATTGCCTTTTCTGTCCGACTAGTTGGGTGATACTAAAACAATTAGACCCTTCGCCTTCAAGGGCCACGGGTCAATAGCCCATTTGGCTTCGCCTCATGGGCTATTGACCCGTAGCCCTTCCAGGCTACGGGTCTAATTGTTAACTAGCATAAAAGTCATTCTTATTAATTAGCCCCCTAAAATTTCATGTCTCATAGCTAGTATTTCTATAATTTGAATTTTCTAAAAAAAAAATGCCAAGAAGACTTCACTTGCCTGTCTGGCAAGTAAAGAACAGGATCCACTAACCAAACTGCAAAATACACTGTTTAGCCGTGGGCTATCTGACACAACTTAATTCTTTACATGCATGCTGTAACTCAAATGGTCAGTCCCTTGTCACCTTGTGATGAAAAGACTGTTGCAATGATGATAGTGACAAAACAAATTTCTCCTTTTGTAGGAAATGTTATTCTTACAGATCTTGAATTGAGAGATGATGCATTGGTAAGTTTTTAATGAAGATGTTACAAATAGTTTACATTTTAGGAGCTAGCTAGTGTACACTAACTGGATAAATTATACTTCTTGTTGGATTGGATGTTAGTCCATCATAGGGCTTTAAAAATTTAATTTAAAAAGGTAAATTCTGTATACAAGCCAAATGGCTTATCAGGCTGGAGCTTTAAATAGATCCCGGTTTCTCAGTAGCATGGAGCGACTAGGAGTATTTCAATCTACATGTACTCCCCCGGCCCCTAAATGGGATGCTAGCCCATCAAAAGGTTAACCCAGCATTAAATTCACTGGTACTGGTTTATGCACCTGGCTGGAGAGAGGCACTGTGAGAGTAAAGTGCTGTACCCAACAACACAACACAATGTCCCTGGCCAGGGCTTGAACCCCGACTGCTCGATCCGGGATTGAGTGCACTTACCATCAGGCCACTATGCCTCCCTTACAGGGTTTAACTCCTAGCATTTATAACTTCATCGTAATCCATTTATACACCTGGGTGGGGAGGGCCACTGTGAGAGTAAAACATCTTGTCCAAGTACAAATGTACATCAGTTGAACCCAATGACTCCTATCAGGGCTAGATGAACCTAGACTGCTTGAGGCAAGCACACTAACCATTTGGCCAGTGCACCTCCCAGGCAGGGTAGATTCCTTGTGGGGGGTCATTGATTTTTCTACCTCAGATAATTGCCCTCAGGCCGTACGTTGCTCTTGACGTTAAGAACGTGTTCATGAAGTTTCATGCATTTACATGTACCTGTGGGATGTCATTCATACTGTCGGCTGACATGTTATAGAATGATAATTATTATACTACTGACCATGCATTTATTTATTAATTCCTTCCTCACTGTATGATAATTTATTACGTTGCAAACTGTTGTTTTCAAGGATGGTTTTCATCTTCCAGTGGAGGTGACCCATGGTTATGTTGGTAAGTTCCTCTACGCCTGATCAAAGTTGTATCCTTAAGGTGATTCCTCAGAAATAAAAGTTGCTGAACAACTTTTTTGAAATTTTCCCTGAATGTTCCCTACCAGGCACTGTATCGAAAAAATTGGGCCAATCTTACCCCTTTTAATATCCTAATCACACATGTTATTTCATCAGTTGAACTGAACAACCCTAAAATAGCATGAAGTAACTAACATTTTGAACATTGACCAATTCCTTCAAATACCCACTGCTCATATAGTTCGGTCTGTCTCTCTGTGTTTGCACGTCATTTACTTGTCTCTTTCATTCCCTTAGTCATATTTTGTTTTGCACATAGAAGGCAGGGGAATAACTCGAAAATCGCAAGTTTCATTCCACATATTGCCTAGTAAAGTGTCAGCTACAGTAGGTACATGTAATTAATTTAATATGTGTTTATAAACCAACACCCGGAACTCTTTCAAATTACAGGCAAAATATCTTTGACAATTCCATGGACCGACCTCTATTCTCAACCATTTGACATAGTAGTCCATGATGTGTATTTGATGGCAGGACCAATACGAGGTAAGGTGATAAGTCTGCAGTAGCCTACTTGATGCAGTAAGTCAAATGACATTAAAACCAGAATGACATTATAAATATAATTAAAAATAAATAATAAATATAATTAAAAATAAATAATAAATATAATTAAAAATAAATAATAAATATAATTAAAAATAAATAATAAATGTAATTAAAAATAAATAATAAATATAATTAGAAATATAAAAATGACATTAAAAACAGAAAGATCTTGGCAAACTACCCTACAATTTCAACCTGTTTTTAATTTTGACAACTGGACTTTAAAAATTTCAATAAAAGTTTACATCAATTTAGTATCATTTAATAATTAATTTATTGGTTCTGTACTGTTACCCATTTGGTTTATCCATTGGTTTCCAAACAGTGTAAATCCTTTAAATTGTAATACATAATGTCTGTTTTTTTCATAGACAGAACATATGACCCAGAGAGAGCAGAAGCATCTGAAATTGCAGCAAAACGGAAACGACTTTCTCAAATTGAACAGAGAATGGAAAAAACAGACAGCAATGCATCTGAAGGTTAGCAGAGACTGATAAAAATAAATCACTATGAGTATTATGTTGGAATTTACTTATGAAGCAGTAATATACAGTATATATGTCATTTCATTATATCACAAACAGATTGCAGAAAATTTTTGGTATTTTTTTTTCAAAAATGGGAAGTATAATTGTTTTTTTTTCCACTGAAGTTATTGTTAATCACTAAACAGGTGACTCAAGAAATTCACTTGGCAGATCTGTTTAACATTTCCCCAGGTGGGAGGGTAGGGGGGTACTCTGCAAAGTTCTAAATGTGGAGGGCCTGCCCTGACATTCTGCCTGTTAGTTTTTGGTATACCATTTTGCCAGAAAAGGTACCTTTTTTGTATACCTTTATTTGAAAAAAGCTACCCCTTTGACATACTTTCATAACTGGCCCGTATTATGAATAAATCACTGAAATGGAAGTCTTCTTGTCATTTTCATGTAGTGCCTAATAATTGAAATGATACAGCCATAAGGTGCCTCTGTTTGGAATATTTTAATTTAAGGCCCAGTTGAAAATAACTAAACGTCAGATTCCCCTGCCCTTTCATGTACCTGGACTTGTGAAAGCCCTACCCTTTTATATACCTGAAGACTGAACATGATACCACTTTTGGGCGGAGCCTTCCTGTATAGGCCATTATAGGGAGTTAACCCCCTGGAACACTGACCCATAAGGGACAGTAGTTAATTATGTTGCATTTTATTTAGAAGAGACAAAAGATGTTGCAGATGGTTCAGATTCCTTTGTTGACAAACTTGTTGCACAAGTGGTAAAGAACTTAAAGGTAAGTTAAAATTGCATACCAGGTTATCACGGGGAATTAATTCATACTCTTACACAGTTCTCAACTGCAGACGTATGAAAATGAAATACTATTTCAGGTGAATAGTGCAATTAGCTTACAGCTCTCTATTTGTTAATGTTGCATCATAGATATCAGTGAAGAACATTCACTTTCGCTATGAAGATAAGGTACGTAAAATAACCGCTGTATAAAAACCCTTGAATGTATTTAGTTGGGAGGACATTCAGGTGTTAAAAGGTGGCCGTAATAACAAGGTGACCATAAGTCGGGGCTCCACTGTACTACTTACTTATTACTTACTTATGCATGCAGCTGGTCAAGGGACCTTCGTTATTTGGGGTCATCCCCTTTGGCATTTCCCAGCTGTCCTTGAGGTGTATTTGAGGCTACTCCTGGCTAGCTGTCCAGTCTCCTACCATGTAGAATTTATTTCAAGCTAGTGCACTCGAGGACTTTTAGTCAGACTTATTAGTGTCAACCTTTTTATGACAGATAACATCTCCAGATGCTCCATTTGCTGTGGGTTTTACTCTTCAGAATCTCTCTGCAGAGGTACGTTTAAAGATCATAACTGCAATGTATTCCAAAATGATACTGCCGATCTCATCCATGTCCTAAGTTACATTTACAATAACTCTATTCCTGTGTTCAGTACTAAAGAAGTGACGAACAAGAGTTTGAATCACCTTTTCGACATACTGATTCAGTAAGATGCACTAATGGCACAAATTGAATGCTGGTGCCTGAGCACTGGTGCCTGGGCAGTGGGACAAAATAGTGCTGCGTTCAGACACTGGGTTCTCCAAGAACATATATATACCCAAGTAACATTTGGTGCCAGAGTACAAGCTAAGGTCGAGAACTTGTGTACACCCTTACAGTGCATTGTGCCTGAATTGTGGCGTGAGTATTGGAAAAAAGGTTTCTTTCCTAGCAGTGACTGTTGAGAATCGTACTCGGGCGCCTAGTGTCAATTATTAGGTCTCTGCACTAAGTTCTGCTCAATTCATTTTTTTCAGACGACAAATGAATTATGGCAGGAGTGTGTTGTAGATGCATCAGTCAAGACCGTTTACAAGGTATTAAAGCGTCCCATTTGGGGAGGACGTTATCGATAGTGTTACAAAGAATCACAAATGAGGATTTTTACTGGACTGAGAGCGTACCAGTTTGTCCCAAGTGTCATTGCTTTGCACTCAGAACAATGACGATTATTTTCTCAGGATCTCAAAGCATGGTATTGGCCAAAATGTGATCACAGGCCGCAATGCATACGCAGTTTACGTTGGTCAATGATTCCAACAAAATGTTATTGTTATTTTTAACAAATTGTAAGAGATAAAGCCTCTTTGAACTAACAAGTTCTGTATACCAAAGGATCCAGCAGCTGATAATACTACATGTAAATGTTGTTAATTTACAGATAGTTAGTCTTGATTGCCTGTCAGTATACTGGAACACCAATCTGACCTCAGCCCAGTTTTTTGGATCTCAGAGTTCTTGGAAGGTAAAAAAAAAAAAAAAAAAAGTATATAACGTTATATGAAACGATTTCTTCTTAGATTGCTATATTCTAAGTTGATGTTGTTGTCATTTAGCTGTTTTTGAACTAGTAGCGATTGTCCAAACTTGTTACGAATTGTGATCCTGTCATTATTTTTTCAGAATCTAATGAGTCACGGTGTTTCAAGCAAAGGAAGCACTCCATCTGATTATGAATTCGGTATGTACCATTAAAATGGCTCGAGAAAGCATGGTTTATCATAGGCTGCGTTGCGGGCGTAAACGGGGAAGGGGTAGAGAGGCAAAAATTAAAACATCCGTTCATCCGCGCTTTGCCTCCTCATGCTCCGTTTTTTTTTAACGCCTACTACGCAGGCTAGGTTTATCAATCTAAGTTTAATGTTAAGATTTATTTGTAAAAAATTATTTCCAGCACTGGTATCCTCAATGATTGTGTTGATTATTTTGTCCCAATAGTTTTGAAGCCTTTGTCTGCAGAATGCCACGTGGTTATGGACCAGTCATCAGATATAGTGCTTGATACACCAAAGGTAAAACTTTGTACAATTTCAAATTCCGTTTTACTAGGTTATTACGTATACAGTCATTTAACTGGCACTGTATTTATATATTGTTGGGCACTGGATAGAGTTGAAGATCTTTTTTGAACCTAATGGAAAGAAAACGTCCTGTGGTAAATCCAGTTTTGAACAGACCTTTTTAATTACCGTTAGTACATTGCTTTGTGATTAGTTTTTCTCCCCCTTCTCTGAAATCAGTGTTGCGTGGGTCTGAATTAACTAAGCCTTTAATAACTTAAGGTAACTAAACAAACACAGTAATAACGCCACACACTTTGTGCACACGCTGGACTGGGCTGTAGGCATTAGGACCTTCAAATAAACGTTTTATCGACCATCGTAGCTGTAAATTCCAATTTGAGCAATTGTAAATTAAGGCCGCACTGCTCTACCAACCGAGCTATGAAGACCCATACATAGGAAGCAGTCCAATCTGTTGAGTTCATCTTAATCAGAAAGGAATGAAACAGAGAATGAGAATGATGTAAATCGCAGAAATACAAATGTAATGAAGATGTGTTGAACTTCTTATATCACTTAGTACTTGGCGTTGTTACTATAAACTGTATTTGCGTTTTCAGCTTTTAATTGAAGTATTGCAGCAGGAACTGTTGTTGGCGTTCTCCCAGAACCAGGTTAGTAGACGGAACTTGGAGAGAAAGAATGCAAGACATTCACAATGTCTTTTATTGTTTTAACCAGGCGAGCAATGATGGCAGTTTAACTTAACCCGGCTCTTAGGACTGGACTACAGTACTACCGCTGTAATTCATTTGTTCACGAGCCCTCAGTCTTCTTGTTCTGCACAAGACCAAATTGTTGCTCTAAAGTTGTACATTTTTTTTTGTGCACTTTACAGTAGTTTTCCAAGATAAGACTACGAAACCTTTTGGTTCACTGTAAAGCTTTACTGTAGATGTTGTACGAAAATACCTTTGTGTATTTTGAGCAAGTATCAGTCAGTGAGTAATTGTTTTGAGTATGGCATAATGCCTATAAAACAAACTAGCTGCTTGCATTGTATTTACATTCGTATTTACATTGTATTTACATTGTTTTTACATTTGTATCTGTACGTATCTTTTCCTCTTTGTGTTGCTTGACGTAGTTTCATAACGTGATGGATTTGATTGAATCGTTTGAGCTGATGGCCGTCAATCAACCGTATCAGAAATATCGACCAACAATACCAGTGCGAGTGGAGCCAGCTGCATGGTAAACATGAACATAGTTGTAAAAGTAGAGTTATCTGGAGTTATGTTGGCCACGTACAAAAACTGCCTTAAAATTGAAGGAAACCTAAAACTAGCAGTTTACAAAGATAGAAAAACGCCAAAGAGATTATAGTAAACCATATAGGGACGAGGATGGAGAAGATTAACACGGATTGCAAACGACGAACTTGAAATATTTAGGCTAAACGTTTCAAGTTCGGAAACCACCTCATTGCTCTTTTAACCCTTCAACATCCAGGAATGAGCCACAGCTATATCAATACACCGTCAATTCACTGACCTTGAGCCAAAATGACAGTTTACATGTACATTGTGCATACGAGCGGAGATCGTTCTAGCTAAGCAAAGACCTTACATTTTTTCCAAAGTGTCACGTATTTCTTTTTAATCCAAAGCAAATTTGATTTAAATTTGCAGGTGGAAATATGCATACACAGCAATTTGTGAGGAGAAAATTAGATGTTGGTCTTGGAGTCGCATAAAAGAACACAGGTACACAATAGCAAACCAGAGGTTTTTTCACTGTTGAAGCCAACTGTACGGCTGTTGTACAGTTTGTAATTGGCAAAGTAAACATGTTCTTGTCAGAGAAACAAACTGGTGAAAACATGGTAGTGTGTTTGTCTTTATATAGGCGAAAGTATAAGCTGTACAAAGAACTTTGGGAGAGAAAGTTGAGGGGTTTGAACGAAGATGAAGAGTCGACTGTGCTACCCGCAATAAAGGTATAAGAAATTGTTTCTATACAGAATCTGTGAGTCATCAAAATCGTTTAACTTTACCTTAATCCTCTCTCTTTTAGTCACTGGAGGATAAACTTGATATTCCAAGCATTTTGATTGCAAGAAGGCATGCAGAATTAGAAGTAAGTGTCGAGATAATTTATTTGTTGCCTGGTCGGAGTGGGTGCTGAAACCTTTTTTTTTTTTTTATCTTACTAGCTCAATCCTTTCAAACATGCAACAGTTAAATAAACAACTAAATAATTCAATAAACAGGAATTTGTAGTGGGACATCCCACAGACAGGCTCTTCGTCCACTGTTTCCAAATCGAATTGGAATTTAGAGGTTAACTTGAAGTAGCTCGAAGTAACTTAACTTCAAGTAATTGTTATATTCTTTCGACACCAGTTCGACACCAGTTAGAGTTTCAATTAGAACTGAAGACTGCTTTTACGATTTGTTGTAAACCACAACATAACCATTTTTAATCAGGTTCCTCGCAGCCAATTGTTTAATCCTAGTAAAAGGCGCAAGTCAAATCCCTGGTGGTTATGGCTTGGTATTGGATCTGGGAGTTCCACTGACTATGAAGGAATCATGAATAAAGAGAAGCAAGGTAAGTGAATCAATGTATTGTGGTGCATTATAACATCACTGGTACTGGACATTGTGCTCAGAACTTCATCAACAGCTATGCCATTAACGGAGGTTAGCTCACCATTAGATTGAGGCCCGTCCACAGTGGAGGAATTTGAAAACGGAGGTTTCACTCTGAAAACACCGCGTCAAATATTTCCCGTCCACACTGGGAAATTTGAAAACGCAACAATCACCGGTCATTTAGATTTCTGTTTTGAGGAAAACCCAGACAGGGAAATTACATGATTATCGTGATGTCAAGTTCCTCCGGTGTGAAGAGCGTTTACGAAAAGCTCCGTTTTCGTGACGGATTAGTGTGGACGGTGGGCCTAACCGTAGAAATAGAGCTGCGTTTTCAAATTCCTCCTGCGCATTGTGGACTGGGCCTGAATTACCGTTGAGCTGCTGCCGCCACTTTTAAGTGTAGAAAGTAATTGTTTTCGTAGTTCTTGTCACAACATACTTTGCTAACATGCAGCGATGCTGCTAGAAGTCTGTGAAAGAGAAAAATTAAAACGTTAGGTTTCCAAGATTCTTCAAATTGGAGTGCGTGTTCGTCGTTACCATTACTAATTATTCCCCCTGGCTGATGTGTTTCACTGAACTTTTTCTTTCCACAAAATAAAGCAAGAGCTAGTTGAAACATGCAATCGAAATTTTTGTACAATTTGCGGATTTATTGCAACTATCTTGCGACCTTTGCAGAAGAAAACGTTTGGTCGAAATTGTCAGTTGCTGCACTTCCCGCCGAGGAAAAAGAGAAGCTGTATAAAGCTATTGACTACAATGAAAGCGTACGAGTCAAATATCCCACTGAGGTGAGAGCAGAAATAAATAACAAAGTAAGTTTCTTTATTCCAGCTGATAAGATAACCATTCGTTAACCATTCTCGTTGACAGTGTCAGCGACAGTGACAATACGGTTATGAAAGGAAAGGTCAAATGTTAACCTATTGAGGAAATGTCGAGGACGTTCTCTGAAGTGACTATAATAGTAAGCTAATATAGTACTGGAGTTTACTTTGAGTTCAAACAAAATTTCACTTCACTTCACTTAGCTTCTTTGTGCCTCGTGGCACATAAGGCCTCCACAGAATGCCTCCAATTTTCTCTGTTGGCTGCAGCAGCTCTTGCCTCATCCCATTTACGCCATCCTGCGCTGTTCCTCTCTCTCTCAACTGTTCTTCGCCAGGTGGTCTTAGGCCTTCCTCTCTTCCAAAGGTCTAAAAAAATTATCCAGATTGACTAGACTGCGAGCAGTCCCTTTCTTTTTCTAGGATACGACGCAAATACGCTAATGCGAAATAACAGAAAAGCGACAGTCTCAGTCCCTCCTCGTTTTTTCTCTAATTTGCATAATTTTAACTTTTCCAGTCTCGCGGAGGATTTCAAGTACACTGTAGTCTACAAAATGACTTACATGCGGGGTATTTTAAACTATTAATGGTTCTCTCTAGGCGTCAGTAGAGTTTATATCTTTTCATTGCAGTTCATAAAGTCAAGAATAACATTCAACCTTGATAGGTGTACCTTAGTGCTCTGTGACACGAAGAACAGGTGAGTCACATCCTACGCATCTTTTAATGTTTGCAACATTTCTTTATCAGAGCCATGTAATTAGTTAAAATTTTAACTTGTTGTATTGACATGACGTTGCAGTGAAATAGCTCAGCTTGACACAGAAGGATTTGAGGCAGCTTTAGAGCACAGACCAGCTCAGAGCGCTTTTCGGTAAGCAAGCTTAAGAACATACAGTATCTTAGGTAAAGGTGTTGTTAAACTTAATCAAGCTCATCTAACCTAGTTATCAACATGTCATCAACATGTTATCAAAAGCATATTGGTGCGGTTCTTCTAAGGTCACAGAGATGTCACCAATCCCCTTGGGGTCCCCGAGATCTCAGGAAACATTTTCTTCAGGCACACCAACAAAGTAGCTGCGTACTTGCTCAAAAGTGTAATAAATACTAGAACGGTATCGTAAGTACAGTGGAACCCCGTTAACACGGTCACCAGAGGGCCACAAAAATCTGGCCATATTAAAGGAGCTCAGCCACGGTTTGCACATATTGAAAAGTTTAGCCTCACTTTTTCAAATTCGTCGTTTGTAATCCGCGTTAATCTTCTCCATCCTTAGCCATCCTTGTTCCTTTATGGTTTATCATTATCTCTTTGGTGTTTTTCTATCTTATTAAACTGTTATTTTCAGGTTTTCTACCATTTAAAGGTAATTTTGTATGTGGCCAAAATAACTCAGAATACCGTGACTGAGCTCCTTTAACGGGGTGACCGTATTAAAGGGGTTCTTTAAATAAGACTATGACTGACTGAGCTTTAGTTCGGGCCAGATTAAAATGGCCGTAATAACAAGGTGGCGGTATTAACGGGGTGGTCGTAAGGCGGGGTTCCACTGTAGCTTGTCTCGGAGTAGATCGTTCTGATGTCGTAATTTACATAGAAAAATTCCACGATTGCATTATTTGTGACATTGTGATTTGGTTAATAGGTTTCATGCCAAGATTAACAGATTCAAGATGCTTGGTTCTTCAGAAGAGGATAACGAAAACAAACAGTGTCTAGTTTCATCCAAAAATTCTCTTAACAGTGAGTGTGAATGTTCATGGCAGCATTTTACCACCTCTTTGTTGCGATTTTCCTTGGAAATTATGAAATATTCATTTCCTCTTGAATTTTAGGGCGGGGGACAGCTTTAGTAGAGTGTACTTTAGAAACTAAGCCTCTGGAACGAAATGCAGATTATGCAGTTTCCTTGAAAGTGGAACCGGTTGAGATGATCTATGATTCGGTAAGTTACATATGGAAATGTGTCCGCCATCTTTTGAAGTTTTACCTCTGCTTTTTGCAGTGTTGTATTTTGTATGGAATCTGAAACCACCTATTAGTCATGCAGACTTTACTTGTAGCTCATGCTTGTTGTTATTGAATATACCTGTTTTTGATATTCTTGGTATTGGACTAGAGTTAAATTGCAATAGAAGCTCATGAGGAGGAAGATCGCTAAAAGGAGATTAATGTGATTTGCTTTTGAATAGACTCCCCTTATAGCCTCAATTGTAAGCTAGTTCCAGCTCATTTTTGGAATGTGAACCTGTCACTGAGACGCATTTGCCATTATACATGTACTGTTATGACTGGAGGAATGTTTCAAATCTTAAACATGTTTTGTTTAGTTTTCTTATTGCTAGCGAGTCACAAAACCAAGTTACCTTTTCTTGCATGCAGTCTTGAAGACAAAAAAAATGTATTGTCTGTCATCTACTTTGTACTTTTCCAAACAGCACACCATTGATAAGATTATCGCATTCTTCCACATGCCAGAAAACACCAAGCTTCAAGAGTAAGTGAACGTTTTTTTTTTCTTACACAGGCCTTATACTGTTAGTAATAGAGGCCATCGGCATAGAAGCCTGAGAACACTTTCAGTTCCATTAAGTTTCATTTGTCCAACTGCACGCTTGAAGTTTAGGGTGTCTTTCCTGTCTGTGATCGTGGTTTATTTTCTTAACATTTTCAGTCGTGTAGTCAATCTTACTCGGAACCGTACTGCCCGCACGGAGTGGGACCTCCGACCACTTGGTCCGAACCGTCAAGTTCTTGGGCCGATATTCCGCCAGAACGGCCCTTGCACTTGGGCAATAAGGACCTGATTACATGGTGAATTTCTGCGTGGGCTGAAATTTCAGCCCAGCTAGCGGGGCTGAAATTTTGTTGCGATTTATACGTGACAAATTTCAGCCCGGGCTGACATATTGTTTCGTAGAAAACAAAATCACTTCGTAAGTCCAAGCTCGCTTTTCTGCCCGGGCTGAAATTCCGTTTCCATTGCGTGGGATATTTTATATATATCAAATCCTTGCTCGGTTTTTCAAACAGGGCTAGGCTTTTCAGCCCGAGCTGAATTGCGGCCCGGGCTGAATACTTCTCCATGTAATCTCCGATTTGAGTTTTAAGAAGATTTGTTTCAGAAGCCGGGCTGAAATTCGCCATGTGATCAGGCCCTAAGATATAACTGATTTAATGCTTAATCCTGTGACTTAAGACTTGAGGTGGCAGCGGCGAACAAGCTGCAGGAACTGAGGATGTGGACCAGAGCAGGGTTAGAGTATGCAATTACTCAGCATGAGGTTAGACATTAAATTGAGCTGCTTGCTTAGATTATCGGAATGATCAATTGATTCTTACTGATAACTGATACAAATTTATTAAGTATGGTAAATATTGTCATGTAAAGTAATGAAGTACTGAGTTAAATTAAACCACACGATGTAGTCCTCGGGAAAACAAACTTGTTTTTGCAAATTTGTGCGTATTTTCATTTACATTTTTGCGCATGACATTAAATAGAAATTTTGGAATTCTCATTTTTTTAAGGTCACATATCTTGACTTGGATGTGAGGTCACCTTTTGTTGTGATTCCTGAATATGGAACCTTGCAAAGGCATGTATATTAAGTAATATATCAAATAGGAGAGACCATCCTTTACCACATTTCCAAACACCGAGAAGAGAGTTAAGTAGTTTTGGAGAACTTCAAGGTGCTTGGAAATGTGGTAAAACTCTGTTTCGATTGATGTATCTTCTCAGTCGAAACTAAACTAAGGAGAAAACAGAGAGGAAAAATGGTTAGAATCTATGCTAATTAAGGCACCGCCACGTAATTTTAACAGCTGTCAAAATTCTACATTGTTAGCAGCAATCAACTGATTTAATTGCAAATCGACATTGTAATAAAATTATCTTCACTACACGGTACATTTTTTTTTGCCCATATCAAGCAGAAATAACATACGTACTGACTGGTGTTATGTTTTTATATGTTGTTGTTGTTTTTTTTTATGTTCGTATTTTTAGGGATGGCAGTGTCTTGGCAGTTGACTTGGGACATCTCAAAGTTGTCAGTAACTTGGCCTCTCGGGACACAAGTGTTCGAGTATGTTTCAACAAATTATATTAATACACAAAATAAAATATAATTGACGTTGACCAGACTGTGCAATAATACTTAAACAACGAAACTTTATTTATGTACGATTTTGATATAGCCCATTCGACTTTCCTACGAAAACGGAGAACTCCGGCCAAATTTTAATTTACTTTTGTTACTGATGGTTTTCAAATAAAGTGTAATTACTGAGATGAGCACTGGCTTATAGATGACATTACTGCTTCTTTTAGAAAGCGTCCGATCACGAGCTGGAGGAAATGTTCTATGACAAGTTCGAGTTGACTTTGGATGATGTTCAAGTTATGATTTTTGACAAGAGTAAGTCATTGACACTTTGTTTGAGTTACTTGTTACGTTACAATTTTTCGTCAGTGTCCTGAGATTCTATAATTTGTTTTTGAAGGTTTGAATTGGAAGTCAGTGCAAGGCATTTCCAGTTCACCTCACCACATTCTGCCATCAACGGCCTTAAATCTGCAGTTACAAAAGAGCATAACAACTGATAACCTTGAACTGCCAGAGTAAGTAAACTATTCCTCTTTTTGCAAAACTCAAGTACTATGAAACATATCAACAATACAGCTTTATAACAATCATGTGTTGCATTTTATTAATCGAGAAAGAAAGATCATTTACCAAATCAGATTTTCTCAAGTCGTCATCTTTGTGATTTTGTCCATTAGATTTAAAGTGTCATCTGTTCTGCCATCTTTGCACCTGAAATTATCAGATGAAAAATTCAAGATGTTGATGAAGGTATGAGATACTTTCGTCATTGAAACAATATTTTTGATTCGGCATTTGCTCTTAAAGCACAAACTGCTCATTGAGAAAGCTCATGCTCTTAACACTCACTATTATGAGAGACTTATATTCCTGCCAGTCTCAGTTTAAGAATCATTTACTGAACCACTAACATTAGACCGAACTTTTTAAAGTTCTTAGATCATTTACCGTTTGGAGTGCAACAGCCTTCCCTACTTGAAGAAAAGCGAGCCGACGTCCTTTCGAAGGTAAAACAACTTATCCCTTTATTGGGTCGTGGGTTATCTTGAGGCAGAACAAAACATTTATTTGAGGCGTAGTGTGGACGTATGAATTTACCATTTTGTAACTGTAAATTTACAGCTTTTACCAGTAATGTTTGGGAGGTAGAAAAGCCAGCTTAAATGTGTTATGCATCATTCTCCAAATTCAAATTCTCTGAACGTTGCCAGAGCGTTTGGTATTATTTTGGTCTAGACATAATGCTTTCAGGGTGTCTGGCTTGACTCAAGTGTTGAATTGTTAGGGAAAATCGGCAAAGCGATGGGAATTTGTAAAATACGGTAAATCTGAACACATTTGCTACAAATCGCAATAGAATTGGAGTACGTTCCATCATTTATTTCAGTTGTGATTATCTCTCATCAGAGCGAATGGAAACATAGCTCGTCTACTCTTTCTTTAGAGGAGGCAAGCAATCTCCAAGCCTTATTCAATAATGCAATGGTTGCACGATTACACAGCACAGAAGGTAGGTTAGAGTTTAAATAATAATCCAATAGACATTTTACTTAAGCCCGAAACATAATACGTCAAAACACATATATTAATGTTTTATTAATGTCTCTTTCCGATATTTACTTGGTGCTTGTTACGCCACTGTTTTATTCATTTAGTTTTACATTTGTTGTTGATATTTCGTCATTTCTTTGATTCTAGATGAAGATGTTTGGTATGACACGGAAGAGAATCTTCCGGAGGAAAGGTGCATAGGCCAGTTAACCTTTGCTGTTTTTAACCGGAAGGAATTTGAGCGCAAGAAAAGGATAATGTTGCATTTAATTTATTGGAGATAATTTATTCAGTAAATAATTAATTTAAAATAACTTAGCAAGGTTCTCTTACTTTTTTGTAGTATTATGTGTATCGTAACATTTCTGGGCTCTGCTTGTACTGTTGAACTAGTTTGCTTGTGTATCATTCGTCTTCAGTCGGAAAGTGATATGATATTAGGGTTTGCCATTATTCAGCTGGAAAACTGTTTCTTATCCTTTGTTAGAGTCCCACGTTTCTTAAAACCTTCACTTGCTTTCGTCTTTGTAATGTACATGTATGTATTGCGTTTGGAATCTTTGCAGTGCTGGAGACCACGCTGTCGGTAGGGAAGCCCGCGATATAGACAAGATCAAATTAGCAGGGAATTTTACCATTAAGAAGGTACATTTATGATGGACCCTGTCAATTCGAACACACACGGGCCATGAAAATCTGGTCGTGACACTCAGTCGCTTCGATTTGGAGGCTTCCATAAACGTACATCTTGAGGATGATGGATAAAAGGTTGATCCTCGTGGCTTTGGTCTGCGGAGGTTAAACTTCAGTTATGTTCTTATGCTCGAAGAGTGTTAGGTACATACAGGAGCTCAGTCACGGTATTTTCAGATATTTTTACCACGTACAAGATTCCCTTGGAATTGAAGAAAACCTGGAAATAGACATTTACTAAGATAGAGAGACATCAAAGAGATAATAATAAACCATAAACGAACAAGGATGCTTAAGGATGGAGAAGATTAGCGCGGATTACAAACGACGAACTTGAAAATTTAGGCTAAACATTTCAAGACGCCCAAACCGTGACTCAACTCCTTCAGGGGATGAAATGTTTAGGGGTTCTTAGTAAAGCTTTGTCGTTTTTTAGCTTCTTATCACAGTGGACAAGGCAGATGAACAGTCTACCAGTGGTGATCCATATCTGAGTCTGGAGATACGAGATGTTGGAACAGATTTGGCCGTTCATTCATGGGACATTCGTGCTCGAGTTAAACTTGGATTTATTCAGATACTTGATAACCACTGGAAAGGTATTTCACTGATTGTATAATACATTTGTTGTACTGTCATATTGCTGGACAAGTCTTAAAGGGAAATTGGCGATAAGATATAGCCTATAGGTAAGTTCCGCATTAGTCTGACAACTGACACCGACAGCGTAGCAATTGCTGCGGACAACATGGAAATAATTTCACGCGCGTTTTGACAAAATTAGAGTTAGTAGAGTTTTTACAAATCGCAAGTGAAGTTATTTCTTAATTTTACGAGTATTTCATGTGATTACCTTTTGATGTCATGAGTGACAAATTACATTCACAATCGTGGGTTTTAACTTGTTTACTGCATCGAGAAATCTCACGCCAAACGTTGCCATGGCAATTTTGGAATTTCACATGTGAATTTAAAACGCTGAAATTTCGCGCCAAAATTAAGGAGTAC